ATGTTCTCGAGCGTTCTCCTGTTTTTGATGATATAATAAAAGGTCAAGCTCCGCAAGTCACTTATTCTGTCAATGGAAGAGAGTATCATTTGGCGTACTATCTCACCGATGGTATTTATCCAAAATGGGCAGCTTTTATCCAATCTATTCCACTACCACAAGGTCCGAAAGCGGTTTTATTTGCTCAAAATCAAGAAGCTGTCCGAAAAGATGTCGAGCGTGCTTTTGGAGTCTTGCAAGCTCGCTTTGCAATTGTTAAAAATCCAGCACTTTTTTGGGATAAAGTCAAAATTGGGAAGATTATGAGAGCATGTATCATACTCCATAATATGATAGTCGAAGACGAACGAGATGGATACACTCAATATGATGTTTCAGAGTTCCAACAACGAGAAGACACCGGGAGTTCACATGTCGATCTCGAATTTTCGACAGATATGCCTACAAATATGGCAAATATGATGGCCGCTCGAACTACACTTCGTGATAAAAAAATGCATCAACAACTGAAAGATGATTTGGTTGAACATATATGGCGTAAATTTGGACGTAATCAAGACAACAACTGAGCTCCAATGTATCTTTGAAGTTATTCTCATTTAATTTAATAATGTTTGTTTTTTATGTTTTTTTTAAGTTCTATGTTTAAAATGTTTTATTTTATAATGTTTAATTAAATAAAAAAAAATTTAGAATTACAAAATGTTTAATATTTTTTTAATTAAGAACCCCTAAATAAGAGACTACCATTGGAGACCCAAAATAATCATGTTTCTTAAATGTGTTCCTTAATTGCTTTTAATTAATAAAATAATGATTAAGAGACATAAGTGAGTTTTTGGGTTGAACATGCTCTTACAGTCGCGGATACCAGAAATAACTAATGGTTTATCATAAACACCTCCTAGACTCTATGAAAACCTATGAGCCATCTTAGAAAATTACTGGAAAGCTTGTGAGTTTATGACGTTAAGTATAAATGAAGTTTACCAAAAGATGATACATCGAGTGTTGGGTTGTGGTTCAGTATATTTATATATCAAATATAAAACAATGTTTAAAATATTACATGAAAATCATTATTTGTTTTTACTTACTCTTTTTTAGAAAACAATAAGAGATATATATAAAGTTAGTTTAAAAATTAATTGATGATTATTACTGTAAGCAAAATTTACCATTATGGACCAAATATTAAACTTGAGCTACAAGTTGGGTATTACTTAAGAAGGCAGTTCCACAATAATATATCGATGTTTATGTCACAAGTACACAACTCACAAATAATATAACATGTCAAAACAAGTCTTCCTTTTCTCAAGAAAAAAGACTTTGCTTTGTTGATAAACAAAGTAAGCATCTGAAAAAAATGGTTTATAAAAGATAGTATTACATTTGACCTTTTCTTTCTCGAGAAGTAACATAGGAAAACTGATATAATGCAAAGTGAACACATAAAGTACGAATTATACAGTATTAATACTTTACGTGATCAGCTTTGGATTTATTATACACGATTTGTTTTTTGATATCCCCTATCGACCAATCCCGTCAGTTCCTGGAGGAAAAAAAATTAGCGCTATATAGTAGAATAATCTGGAAGTGTGCCATATCATGTGACCTGAAGTCAAAATATTTTTTGATTAATTCCAGAGGAGGAACCGATCATGTGTTACGATCCAGTATGATAAACATTTGGGTCGAAGCCTAAATCCAAACTGGTCAAATAGTCATTATTGCATTTTCTACCATACAATATATTATATGCATGTGTGCATACCAATACTTTCAGAACTGCATCTTCCTTGATCAAGCAAAATGTTCTGGTTCACTTGTAGAGACGACTACATTCAATAGGTTTAAAAACATAAAACTCTACTTCTCCATAAAAAGCGTATCAACCTAAAAAATACTAATACCCAAAAGACTACATAACCAAATTTGAATTGATACACTTATGTTACAGAAACTATTTAGAGAAGGGTTCTTCCACCCCATATACATATGTTAAGAGGATCAATAATGCATCACAGCTGAGGGAGGAAATGTTAAGAAAAATGGGTTTGTTATTAAGATTTAGAGTCATGGAATGTAATATAAACCCTCCCCCATTTTCAATACACTTTGGAGTGACAATCACTTTCCTAAGCAACTGAAATGGGATTAGAGAGATAGCTATATCTGCTTTCTAGCCACTCTGACCAAGTTAGAGCTTCTCCCAAATTTTTTTTTTTTTGAATCTAGGTGTTGCTTTAATAAAGAATACTACTGGTTTGAGTGTTGCATACATAACAATGTAATTGTATATCACATTTAAGATCCCAAATTTAAACATGCATATAACTAGTTTGACTAAACGTAACATCAAATGATAAGAGGTTTACAAATGCGCTTGATGAAGAGAAGTAGAAGGAATTACTGGTGTGCACAAAAAAAATGTACAAAATCTTGCGATCTTTGTAAAGTTACATCAAGCTATGTAGTCGAGTTTAGTTTGCACCTTCACTAGGATGATGTAACTTACCAGAAAGGTGATACATTGGCTTTTCAGACATGTTGTCTAAAATATTTAGGGTGAAAAATATTTTTATACTCGTACTTAATATTCTTTTATGTCTTTGATAATCCGAGAGTATTCAGCGGACCAAGACCCAACCGACTAATTTTCTCTGGAGGCCTGACTATTGGCACCAGTCAAACCCAGTTGCTCGTAAGGAAAATTAGATACCTCTGTCACATGGTCACATGAATGGATAAACCTGAGCTCAGGTTCCTTAGGGACACTGAGACGCTATGCGCTACCGACCACACCCATGTGTCTTACTTAATATTTATTATAGATAGAGATCCCGAGAGATTTTTTTGTGTAAAGGTTTGAGAGATATTTTTCTATTATTATTATTTTTGACCGAATATTATTATTATTATTATTATTATTTTATCATTTCAGCATCTTGAAGAAATATTAAAATTGGGTTACTCGAGGCAGCTTTATGATATTTGGGGTTTATATCAGTGGTGAAATAACATGTCTACGTTTGCTCATCAAACAAGTCTTCTGTTTTGCCATTTAATAAAGTTAACTTTTTTTGTTATCAAGAGATGGTGTGTAGAAAAGAATAAGAGCATGATTATTGCAGGTCCCTTAAGCTGGGTCCCTTAGCGTACAGTCCCTTAGCTTTTAACTGAAAACGCTAAGGGACGTCCCTTATATAAGGGATTTAAGGGACGTCCCTTAGCGTTTTCAGTTAAAAGCTAAGAGACTGTACGCTAAGGGACCCAGCTTAAGGGACCTGGTCTAAAGAATCCAATATTGTAACCCTTGTTCTAATCCAGAAGCAACAGTACAAATGTGATAGAAATGTGAAGGGAAACGCATAAAAGTACATATAGCATTATTACTTTGCGTGAGGAGTTATAGAAACTATTACTAATAAAACAACGTTGTACTTTTTGTCAAATCCTATATCTATAACTATAAGTATGCAGAGCATACCAACACTCTCAAATCATCTTTCCCTCATAAATCTCATATCCATCTTGTTCCATTTCAGCCATGAATTCTCTGTTAAAGCAAAAATCAGAAACTCCCCTTTTATTATGCCCTGATGCAAAATTTCTAAACGTCGAAGATGAGTTCCACTGTATACAATTCGGAAAGTTTTTATCATCTTCATCTCACCTCAGTCCTTTACGGCGAAAGGTCAACAAAACGAATGCTAAATTCTTCAATAAGTGTGCAGTTTGCAGGGATCAAATACTCCATATTCTCGAACCCCTGATGTACATCTGCAAAGAACCTTCTTGCCATATACAAGCAATACAACGTAGTTTCCACAGAGAGTGTATCGAGCCGATATCAAAGCATCCATATCATCCTAAGCATAGTCTCCGGCTTATATTTTCCGATCCAAGTAAGATTTGTCTTTGTTGTTCAAATTTTAGTGAATGGGTTTACAATTGCTCTAGATGTGATTTTAGCATGTGTCGAGATTGTCCTAGAACAGAAGCACTCCTCACAATAAACCATCCCAAAAGGCATGAGCATACCCTTCTCTACAATTATAGGCAAACCTCATTGATTTGTGACGTTTGTGGGTTGAATGATCATAGGTCTTTTATGTATACATGTGGTCAATGTGATTTTGTAGTCCATAAAGAGTGTCTAGACATTCCAAGCATCATAAGAATATCACGTCATGAACACCGCATCTCTTTCAATTCTTCTCTTACTCCCGAAAAGCTGACGTGCGGAGTGTGTCACCGGAAGGTAGACACAAATTATGGAAGATATTCTTGCGTTAAGGGTTGCATATACGGTGTTCATTCTAAATGTGCAACACGAGAAGATGTATGGGATGGAGAAGAACTTGAGGGAGAACCAGAAGATCCATATGAAGATATTAGCTCGTTCAATGAGATAAGCGAGGGAGTTATACAGCATTTCAGTCATGAAGATCATCATATGAAACTCGATGAGAAGACTGATAGAGCATTTGATGAGAACAAGTACTGTCAAGCATGCACACTTCCTATATGTGATGATATTATTTACATTTGCATGCAATGTAATTTTATCCTCCATCAAGAATGTGCACATCTTCCTCGGAAGAAACATCAAGTGACGCATCCTCATTCCCTTAGTCTCCAAGTGGGTCATCAAGGCTGCGAGTTTTTCGAATGTAAAGCTTGTCTTCATATAAGCAATGGATTTGCGTACTTTTGTGTGGAAGAGGATTGTGATTATATGTTAGACGTACGTTGTGCTTCTATAGCTGAGCCATTGGATCATCGATGTCATCAACATCCCTTGTTTCTTACATTTGAACCCCGATCTACACAAATATGTTCGGTTTGCAATAAATCTCGTGGTCATCGTCTAAATTGTGGAGAATGTGGGTTTGTTGCATGTTTTGGATGTGCCACTTTACCCAATAAGTTGAGGTACAAGCATGATGATGATCATGTTCTCCTTTTTAATTACGAAGAAGACGTAAGTGGTCAGTACTTTTGCGAAGTTTGTGAAAAAGAAGCAGATCTGAAGAAAGGAGTTTATATGTGCCATGACTGCAACGTTACACTGCATATTAAATGTCTACTTGGAAAAGACATAAATATTATGCATGGTGTAGTAATCGAGTATCCTCAAATGGACGTTTCTATTAATCTCAATGATCGCCTTAGTCGCAACATATGTAGAAGTTGCGAGAAACTTTGTGCACACAGAATAGTATACGAAGTATCTGATTTTGAGGTATGTTCTCTCAAGTGTCTGAAAGTTGTTGTAATATATTATTCTATATTTTCTTAATGTTCATTTTCTCTTCTTTCTCCATGTGTTCTCTTCATAACAAATGTATAAAATTAGGTCCATATATTGTATGAAGTTTACAAGACTAATAAAAACTATTTTAAGGATAATAACTGAACCATTTGCTCGAAGGTAATAACCAAAATAGATGAGAAATCTTACTTCAAGTGGTGGGTACAAGCACTATTACTCAAAAAAAAAGAAACTAATCCAATAGATACAACAGAGCCAATGCCAGATTTTGGCATCCACTAGTAGAGAATGTTAACAAAAAAAGAGAGTTAATAAAACAGCTATTGCCCTCCCTTGGGTGATGATCCAACTACTTGCTTAAGTAGTTTAACCTTGTTGAAATCTGCAGGGCAATAACTTTTCTCTACTTCCCAAGCGAGCTGTGACATTCCATTAAACGATGACTTGGCTCCTTTTTCATCTGTCACTTCCATTGGAAATGGAATCCTGACATCGTATACACCTCGTGGAGACCACACACGAAGGTCGAATCCAAGCCTATCCATCCATATCATCTTTGTCTCTGAAACCTGGCATTAGGCAGAGAAAGTATAGTTCTGATCATCCCACAAGCCAACTAATCTGAAGTGAAATTGGTAGTTATGCTCCATAAACATCTAATCTAATTGGACATTCTTTAAGTATATACTAACCACAAAGTCGAGATCAACGTATACGTTGCAGAATCGGAAAATGTCTTCCATGTTGTTAGCGTTAATATTGTTGACAATGTCTTTTGCAACATCTCGAAGAGGATCAGGACTTGCATTTTTATAATCTGCTGAGGCCACCCAAATTCCATCCTGGAAAAGTTTTAAGACGTTCTTATCAGAGTTTGTTGGATCACAAACAATACTTTCTTTTTAAATTGGGAGGAGATCAACTGAAATATAAGGGAATAGATTGTGACAAGAACTAGAAGAGAGGTACCTCCATGAAGTCTTCCATCTGGAGTACACGGTCAACAGCAACAACGTATAAACTGTCTTCCTCAACTTGTTCGCCAAACTTTTTCCTCCATGCAGCACTAAGACGCTACACAAAACATACAATTCAAGTAAAAAATCACATGTATAAGCAATTAAAACAAGCATTTTATGAGAAATAATCTGTTCTCTACATTCATCTCCTAGAGGTTATTAATACTACACATGAAGGGACAAATAGACATGACTTCAAATCAACAACAGTTTTCCACAAACACCTGCTAGAGGCTAGGAATAGAAGCTACACACTCAGTGAAGAGAGACAACGACTAAAGTTATGTGTTTAATTTGATTTCAACCAGCCAAAACACAGAGAGAGAGAGAGAGAGAGACAAAGGAAATGAATAAATGTGTAAGTCTTTACTTTTACTTCAAATTTTCAGTGCAAAAGACACATAAACATAAGCAGGTCAATGAAGAAACCTTATCCTCCATACAAAGAAATCAAAACAGAACACAAAGGAGGTACCTTTAGAACATGATCGTCTCCAGGTCGAGCAATGCTACCTTGAATCGTACACTGAGGAGTCCTCAACCCACATTGCTCCAACTGATTCCACAACAAAAAACAATGAGTATCAGAAGAGCAATAAACCACAATTAATCACTTTTTAAAACCTAAAAGGATCAAACTTTCAACCTGAACATGAAGAGCAGACCTCTTATCAGGATTCAACGCGCGATTGAGGCAGAGCACAGGAGTGCCATCTCCGTCAACGGCGAACCGAACGCCGACGCCGAGAGGCCACCCGTCGTGGGTCAAAGTGGAGAGAGTTCCGACGGAGGAAAGCTCCATGATGCTCCTCGAAACCTCCGCCGGAAAGGGCTTGTGGGTAGAATGATTGGTCGCCGTTAAGGTCGTGTTCGGGGCCGTGGAGACGGAGCATCGGAGGGAGATTGGGCGAGATGGGTCTCGCTTTGGGGAGATGAATTCGCGTTTGCCGATGGGTTTCAAGAGATTCGGAGATGGGAGAAGGTTGAGAGCGAAGGATTGGGTTTGGAGCTTCATCTCTCGGTTGAGAAAGAGATAGAGAGAGAGAGAGATTTTGACTCTTGTGTGGAATGTAGCCAATGTCTTTGACGAAAACAAGATAACACAAAACCGGATTTGTACCGGTAAAAACCACAATCAATTACAAATGTCTTCCCGGTTTGTGTTATTTTCGAACTTTACATTTGGGAAAAATATTAAAAAGAATTCAAATCAGACCAGACATTATATCTTATATATTAAAACAGAAGTCACAACTTTTAGTGATGTGTGATTTTTTTTATAAATGGATCCTCCCTAAGAAATCATGTTTTATATATTTCTTAATAAGATTTTATGACTTAATAAAGCCACTATATATTCGTTACTATAACTAACTACTACGCCTTGAAAAACGGTTCAGTTAACCATCATATATTTGCATCATTAATGAATAAATACGACAGCTTTAGTATATCTATGTTTAAAAATATGCTTATATCGAACCTAACCTTTTCTAAGTTAGAGTCATCTCACTAACCTTTTCTAAGTTAGAGTCATCTCAACCAATTCGGTTTATACAATTAATAAACAAACCACAATCAGGTTTAACCGATTCATACCATCATTCCTAATTCATGATTAGATTGATTATTCAACATGTCCGGTTTATACAACTATTAAACAAATTCATACATCGGACTTAACCAGTTCTGATCACCGTTTTTAATTTGTAGTTTAACTATTCAGCCGGTTCGGTTTATACAGTAAATAAACTTAACAAAATAAAATTAACCGGTTCTTAGAATGTATACTGGCCAAGCTTCACACTCGCTAGAACATGGAAGTTGTATTACCTCTTTAGCATGTATCACATAATAATCAAAATCTTTAATTTAAATTCTAATTATCATAAACTATCATTAGAAATTAAAATTAATTTACTTTTAGTTTATAAAAAATGAAAATTATATAAAATAATTTACTTATATTTTAATGATAATTAAAAAATAAAATCACTAATTCTGAATAATACATTTTACAAAGACTTTAAATATACTATGTTATAAAAAATATTCATTTCTATCTCAAATATTAAAAAAAATCTAATCTATTAAATAGAAGTAACAATGCCATTTCATGTGTAATTTTTTAAGTTGTACCTTCCCTTAGAAATTTATAAATATATTTCATTACAGCTAATAATAAAACATGTGTAACTACTTTAATGATAATATCTTTTGATATCTTTCAATTTTTAAAATTCTAACAAATTTTTTGAAAAATATTTTAACAATATCTCAATTTTTCAATTTATTTAAATATTTTCATTAATTTCATAAATAGTAATAAAATACTATTACACATTAATATACATTCAGTAACCATATATAAAATGAAAAATCATAATAAATTAATTATTATATTAAAATAAATATGATAAATTATATTAATTTGATATATTAATATATTTTATTTCCATACATATAAATATTTATGTTAAAATAATAATATGTTGGCAAAACGGGGTAACATACACTATATAATACATGCATATAAATTAAAATATCTTAAATTTTTATATGTACAAAAATATATTATCTAAAATTAATAAGCATAAAAATTTGCTAAAAAGTAATATAGATCTTTGAAGTTTGAGTAAGAATTTAACATAATAGAATACAAATTAATTTTTATATTTTGTTGTTTAATGCATATATTAGTTCATTTAATAGACAAATGCAAATTTAATAAGATACATATGATAGTTTTAAACAATTGAACAATTACAACATGTAAACTATAAAATTATTGTATTTGAATACTTAAATAAATATATAATTGATGTTAAAAATATATACCAATAATGATGTAAATAAATATTTTATATATATAAATGAAATTAAACACCCGCGCGGTTGCGCGGGTCAAAATCTAGTTATGGTTTATTTCACACCTATCAATTCAATTTCAGATTGCATTAATGCAAGAAAACAAAACGTATAAATATGTTTGGAACTTTGGATAGATAAATCCTTTTCTTTTTTTCAACATATTTTCATTAACAAATCCAATGGGCTGTTTTATATGGGTCAAGACATTACAAATAGAATCCAATAACCATAAACCTTAGAGAAGCCGTAAAAAAATTAGAGAAAACTACCAAAAAAACTTTCAACTTTCAAAACAAAGCAAAGAAAAACTCAAACTCAAGTTTAAATAATTTTAAATCTCCAAGTTTTAAGTATTGGCTATTTTAATTTTACATTTCGGTTGACTCAGCTATTTATACTCAACGAAAGTCAATCGTTAGTTTTCAATAACTTCCGTTAAGTGTAATATGATATTCTTTTGGACAAGATATTATCTTCATCAAAAACCAAAATAGACTCTGCATTCCTCCATTGCAAAACATGAAACCAATTTCTCAAACGTCTCCGCCGATCTTTGATGAAGACAATAAGTTGTGGTTATCCTAATGACAGATAAATTTCAATGTGTTTTTGTGTGTGAACTTATTAATTATTTATGTGTTTGAATTTTTTTATTTTGAGAATGTTAAGCTTCATACCAATTTTTTGTTTTTGAAATACAAAGATGTAGAAAGCCATTTATTGTAAGCTAAACGCTGATAAAAATAAAGAAAACAACATGAACAACACGAGAGGGAAACCAAGTTTCAAGGCGGTCGGAATGGGAACGGTAAGTAACAAAAGGAAGGAGGAGTGATGGAGAATCCGGTTATGACAATGATGAGAACTTGAGCAGCAATACCGGCGTGCTGATCATTTCTCTTTCATTAAGGGTGGTGATGACTATAAAACTTAGAAACTACTATTGGTTTTGTAAGTATATACATACATAGGTGCAAAGCTTCATCGAAGACACATAAGCGAAACTTTGTCGAGACACAGAGGCGAAAAGTTTCACTAGACACATAGTCTGAGAGTTTCACTGGAGACGCAAAAACAAAGAGCTTCACCGGAGACACATCAGCTGATAAATCTTACTTTGTTAAATGACCATTTACGTGGCTATATTAAATTATAGGCGGTACCTAATTTATTAGATGAGTATGTTGCTGAATATACAACTAAGAAAATTAATGATTTTAAGCTAATACATAAGAAATTAAAATCACACATATGATCTATTAAATGAACATACAAACAATATATATATATATGTGTGTATTTGTTGAAAACTTCAAATTGTTCGACAACTAATATAATTTATACACGGTTATCAGATGAGTTACTTAGGATAGAAATTGAATCGTTTGTATTTTCAGATTATTAGACAATTAATACATTACATGTACGGTTAACAAATAAATTATTTGGATAAACTATATCATAAAACTAAACCCAAAATCTTAAGATTTAAACAATTACCAAAGCATAAACCCTAAATACTAAAACCAAAATCATAAACCCTAACCAAATGATAAATCATAAACCCTAAATTTCAAACAAAATATCCTAAACCCCAAACCCTAAATCAATACTCTAAACCTTATATCCAACAGCAACACCTTAGACCCTAAACCATTGATCCTAAACCCTTGACACTATAATACGATACACTAAACCGTATTAGACAATTTCATTAAGCATAAGACTGGTAAATGAAGAAGAAATATAATCAACTATCAGATGTCCAATTTTCTTTGTGGATAGTTACCACATTTTTGAATGGCTAACACAATTAATGAACAAGTTAATAATAAGGTTAGTTATAAAGTATCGTACCCCTACACATTATAGTTTTAACCATAAGTCGAAACCCCTAAACCGCCTATAATCTATAATATTATATTACTTGTTAATTTTGTAGTTGGATGTGTAACTTGTTTAATAGCTTGTTAACGATAATGAGAAAACTAATTTTCAATTATCTGAAATTCATTGTTATGGTACAATAATGTTCTAACTATTTCTTGAATAAAATTAACCGTTAATAATTTTTTGAGCTGGTAATTAATTTAATTATCCAGTTAATATAATATTTACATGGTTAACGAATGAACAAGATCTTAGCATATATCAAATGTTAATCCACAGAAAAATATGATTGTGGCTTAACATGTAGAGAACATATACATACAACATATATAGCATATACATCAAGTGGAAATATAGCGGCGGAAATCTTGACCGGAGACGCAGTGGCTGAGGGATCTTCACTGGAAACGTAGCAGTGGAGAGCTTCATAAGAGAGACAGAGGCAGAAAAGCTTGACGGGAGACATAGAGACCGAGAGCTTCACCGGAGATACAGCAGCAAAGAGCTTCATCGGAGACACAATAGCGGAGACCTTCACTGAAGACGCAACAGTGGAGACCTTCATCGGAGACACAGCGGTGGAGAGCTTCATCATAGACGCAGCAGCGGAATCTTCACTGGAGACCTATGGACGGAAGAGTTTGACAGAAACGGAGCAGCCGAGGGTTCACCAGAGACGCGTCGGTAGAGAGCTTCACCGGAGATCACATCAAAAGTTACGAGATTGAACTTTCGTAAGATTTGCAGAGAATAATATATGGTAAATCAAAAATAAGATTTGGTAAATCAAACTGAAAGATTTGGAAGATATAACGATAGTGATATTGTCATTTAATAGTTATACGGGTAAGAGTGTCAATAGAATTTGTGTACAGTAAGTAGCAGTGTAGATTTGGTATTTAGCTAATTAAGGTAAAATTCTTTGGTAGGAGTTCTAATTTCTCTAAATCTTATTAACCGAAATTCACACTCTATTCTACTAACCAAATTTTTGTTAAGAAAATAAATACAATTTTTAATCTATATATTTTAATGAAAACTTTACCAAACTAAAAAAAAAAGATTTTATTAAAATTTTTATGTTATGTTTAAAAATTATTTAAATTTTTAAATCTTTTATATTTTTAAAAATTAATTAAAATACATGAAATCATAACAATATTAATTATAAGCTGGTTTAGGATGGAGTCTTAAAACTTGTTATAGGACTCATAACTAATGCCAAACAACTGGAAGTATGGTGGAAATTGGAAA